TATTCACATTCCAGTGGGCCCCTAGAAGCAAGACTCTACAAACTGTGGGATTAGTGTCGGATAAGCCAGTGGAAAGAAGTCAGAGGAACTCTGTCAAAGCACACCTCACACACAATAGGGTTCTGCCCCTTAAAAACATCTGCCACCTGACGACTCATCAGTGAACAAACCCTAGTGAGCAGAGGATTCGCATGACTTCTTCCATCCCAGGCTTTGTCAATGCTCTCTTGACCTAGGATGTCAGCTTGTGGAAAAGGTTTCATCTGTTCCTTTGGAGAAAACAGCCTAACCTCACCACCTTCTGCTATATCCCCCGCTGGCTAGGTACTTGATTTTTAATGTTACCCTTCAAAGGTTGCTGATGCTTGTGTTAGTAACAAAAGCAAACAGTTACAACTTTCCTAGTCCCAAGCTTCATTGTCCTTATGAAAGATTTTAATCAGAAATACAATGTAGTAAATTACCTCTTCTTTCAGCAATTTAGTTTTCAGCCTTGTTTTTCAAACCAACTTTTGTGCTTAAGGTTAATGCAGTTGTCTGAGGTGTTGAATGAATATTGGAAATTTGACACAAAAGACAAAAGACAACAAATAAGGAAAGAAGAAAATGGAACCAAGAGTTGATTGGAGGCTAAGGATAATTTGACTATGCCATGAAAATAGCAAATACAAAATGAATTAGACCTCTTACATCAGAGCAGTCTAACAAGCAGCTTGTTAGTTAAATAAGGTTCCCAGTAAAGCATATTCTGACTTGCATTTCCCAAGCTGCCCTATGCTTTAGACCAACCTCCAAACACTTGAAGGATTCACATTTAGTTAAAGTGCGGAAGCAATTCCTTTGGGATTGCTGCTTTAGCATAGTGACAGCAGGTGGACAGTTTGGCAGCAGCCTGCATTCTCCAGAGAATAGGAGAAGAGACACTTGTGAGGGGTGCTCTTCCCGATGCATGTTTTTAAAGTCACGTTGTACATGTGCATCTAAGTTTAGGTTTTCTTGCTATATAACCAGTAACAGCAGGCAGAGGTTCTTATTCTTAAAGGTTCAAGGAAACAAAGCTGCTCATCCATGTCTGTGAATCAAAGGAGAGCCCCAGGCAAAAATATAAAGCATGCAGCATCTACCACTAGGAGTACACAAACACACACATATGTGTGTGCATGCACATACACACACACACACACACACACACAGGTTCACAACCAGCACAAAAGATGATTACACAGGGCAAATATCTGCTGCACACATGAGCAAGCCCAGATTCATGGCAATGCACAGAATAGCTTCTGTTTTCTGGCTTGAAAGATTCAGAAGATTTCTTTCTGTATTATTGAACTGAAAGGATTTCAGAAAAAGATCCTCATAGGACTAGAATTCAGGTTAAGAGTCATTTTCATGTGGCAAAAATTGAAGCGCTCAACATTCTTCTCAGATACAAGCCAAGGCCAGGGCAAGTAGAACTGCCTAATTTAGATGTGAGTCAAAGAACCTGAGGACGTTGGGGTAGGAAACACAGAGGAACGATAATGGGAATAGAAGAGAGCACAGAAAGTAAGATTGTAGCACTAACAAAGCAGACCCCTACCACACACACATTTCACTCCTCACTTGGCTCTAACCTTGGAAACAGAGGAGTTATACAGGCTGCCTTGGATCTGAAAAGGATAATCAGAACAGGTTATATAAATGGGAGAGAAATTACCTGTTAGTGGCTGTGTGAATCAGGGAAAACAGGAAAGATACAACACTATCATCCAATTAGAAAGAAAATTGAGTTTAGAATCCAGAAATCCACAAAATAGCAGTCGAACTGTACAAAGCACTACACTATCATCTTTGCCAAAAATACGTATGAAGGCTACCTAAAGGTTATTTGGAGCCAGTGGAGCCCAGACTAGTGAGAAGGATCAAGAACTTTCTTTTGAAAATAAAGAGTTTGCCTGAAAAGTAGATTTTCTTCCCCTGGGTTTCTATATGTGGTGGCAGGCAAGCTTACTAAAACTTAAAAAGAATACTTTAAAACTATCCAAAAATTTAGACAATTTAAATGACTGATATTGGTCATGGACTACAGTAAATACTCACAATCCAAAAATAAAAAGAGTTAAGAGTTATTCTTGTGAAAAATGGATGGTGTAGAGTGTGTAAATAATAGGAGCAAATGCAGCAAGACAGAGAAAACTTTGGGCATTTAAAGTCTAATACATTATCAAGAGAGTTCAATACTGATAAATTTACAGTAATAAGTTTTGTTAGACTTTATCATGTGCTATAAGTTGGCATACATCATAAAATATGAGGAATAAAAAGTAGGAGAGTTGAACGACAAGTCTTTGTGCATTATTTATGAAGGATGAAGAGTGAAATGAATGAGAAGAACAGGTAGACAATGTGTTGAATAATGATGACTTTGATGAGCAGTTATCACACAAATCTCTGTACTTCATAAAATACAAGGAATATTAAGCATCAGAAGAACCAAAAAGCAAATCTACTCAAAATGAGATACACAATGAAGGAAGAGAGGAATACAAAGGAAATGTACAGAATAATGATGACTTTTATGAGAATTTCACTCACCAGCCTGGATCATTCATAAATATAAGCCATACAGAAAATAAAAGAGAAGCAAAAGAAGAAGAGACTGATCTGTGTTTGTCATAAAATATGAGGAAATAATGCCAACTAGGCTTGACAAAATAAAAACAAAAATAATTGAGCCTAGTACAGCTGTCGAAAGGTACAATGTCTGGATTAATGTGGAAAAATAAAATGAGTGCAGGTAGAATTATCTTTCCAGTAGGGATTCACCAAGCAGCTAGGTAGGCATTACTTTTATAAATGTCAGCTTGTTAACTTGTGGAATATTGGCAAGTTTTTAATTAACCTTTACCACACTCCAAGAAAGCCAACAGCATCAGGGGCTTAAGAAGCAATGTTTAACCTATTTCTAAGAGGTTTGGCTTCACCAGCAGAGTCTCTTCTCAGTACCCCAGCTCTAATTCTTGTGTAATTAGTAGGAGACTGCCATGGCTTGTTTCCATTTAATCTACACCCATTTCCACTTAATCTATACCCATTTAAATTATTCAAATATTGCTTTATAAAGCCCTCTGAAAGTTTACTGTATATAACCAAAGATGTCATCTATATTTTGTTACATTGGACTGTGAATCTGGTATCAGATTTGTCAGGATAAGTTCAAAATCCAGAACTCAGACTTAAAATGTCTTTTCCATTAGAACAAATAGGACGTTGAAATGATACAGACGCTGGGAAAAGCAGACATGGCAAAGCAAGTGTCTGTATTCCATCTGTGTGCCACTCAGCACCATGTTTTATGTAATTCATAGGAGAAAGAAAGCTACTGATCTATGTTTGAAACTCAGAATTTTGGTCTGGAGCTCAAACTATATACAAGCACCAATAACTATAATTATACTAGTTTACCTTTGCACAATATTTAATGGTTTGTAATTTGTGTTATGGAGAGGTCTGAGATAATTCACCATAAATCCTATCAGTAGAATTTATAAGCAATTCCTTTGATTGCAGTAGAATTTAGTTATGAGGTTTATTGACTAAAACAAACTCTAACTAGTAACTTTGTTGCTTATTCTGAGGTATTTGAGGGGTTTTTTTTGTTTTTGCTTTATTTTGTTTTGTTTTGTTTTCCTCTGTATTTTTCCACAAACAAGCTCTGTGACTGTGAGCCTTTAGATACTCTCCTTGGTGTTCTGATTCTTATAGAAGAAGGTATAATCCCAGGGTAAAATAACAGCACTAAGGATATTCTGAAAAGCCTGCTGACCCAAATAACAGGTCCTTTTTAATCCAAGATTGAGCTTTCCAAGATATCCTGAATCTCAGTTGGTAAAAAAGCTAACATTCATGCCCTAGGAAAAATCATTGACCTTGTTCAGTCTTCCTTGACTGTGCCAGTTCCAGCTTTAAAATGCATGGTCAAGAGCTCAGAGCTCCCAAGACTAGGATTGAACTCCAGTTAAAAAAAAATACATATCCTTGCCCCCTACCTTCAAAAAGTCTTTGCTTGTAAGTATCACAGGGTCGTCTAGACTGCCAGACTCTTGGAATTCGTTACAGCTTATCAGCTAGACTAGAGAAGAAACTAAGAGATATTTTACTGAGCTATTTCCCTTATAGACAGGCCTATTTAGGGGCTATTTTAAGTGAATCCCATTCTTTGGCAAAGATGAGACTCCTTTACTTAAAGGAGAAATGTTCTACAATATTTTTAATTAGGCAACAATATCAGGATGCCATAGTCAAGTATCATGTCTCCCATGTAGGCTTTAACTTGATGTTCACCTAGCTAAGTTTGTTTTGTTGGGTTCATTCCAGACAAAACAATTAGGAGTGTATGCATCAATAGCCTATAACATGTTCATACATTTGTATATAAGTGCACAGAAAATGACACAGCATGTTGATAACTGCTAATTGCCTATGGTAAGAAGCCAGGAATAGGTAGTGGGAGAGAGATGGTTAACAGAAACTCTAATCATATGCACAGTGTATTATGTTTTAGCCACTGGGATTAACTTTGATAAGAGAAAAGCATCCTTCTACGACTAAGATTATGTCCCAAGGAAATTAGAAATTTAATACAGGAAAAGAAATAAGGAGGAACTAAATTTCTTAAAGTAAGTAGTAGTTTAAGCAAGTTATGAAGTGCCATTTGAAAGATAAGATATATAATAACAGACATAGTTTAAGGAATTTCTAATTATATTGGGTGATGTTAATAATATACTATTAACTTAAACATATGAGAATTAAGATTTATACCTAGTATGATCCTAACTTTGGAAGATAAAAAATGCACATGCACTACATAAAATAGGTATTAATACTTAATACTAGTTGGTGAAAATTTTGTTTTTCTAGTTATACTTGACCATTTCTCAAAGTTTCTACAAGTTGGCATTTACAGTTTAACCTTATTATGTTTTCTTATTTGCTTTTCTTTTGTTTTTCAGGCGTGCTTGTGTAATACGTGGCCAAGTTGTGGCTGTGGATGGAACCCCTCTTGTGGGAGTGAATGTCAGTTTCTTGCACCACAGTGATTATGGATTTACCATCAGCCGGCAAGATGGAAGGTATGTCAATATTGCTTCTGAACATTGTAGGCGAAAAGCACTCACTTTCACCAAGGATTAAGCCATAGTTCAAGAAAATGTAGTAAATCTGGGTGTGCTAGCACATGCCTCTAATTCCAGCACTTTGGAAAGTTGTGGCAGGAAGAACACAAGTTCAGGTACCATCTATTAAACAAGGCCCTGTCTCCCAAAAAAGTAACTTGGGATGTATCTCAGTGGTATAGCAGCCCTGGGTTCAATCCCGAGTATGAGAAGAAAATGGGAGTAAGTTCATCTTCTTTCTAGTTGTATGTAGGAAAGCCATTGATGATACTTATTTCCTCATTTTTGTCTTTTAGCATTCCAGTATCATTCTCAAGTCATCTTGTAAGCCTGCCATGTGTAAAACTGTGCACATTTCAGTCAACTTCATCTCCAAATTCAACCTCTAATTTCATTGAGATGGTGCAAATAAGAAATTTGGAACTATGGAACGCTTGGGCTGTTCTTTCACAACAGACCCAAAATATTTCAGAAATGAACATGTCCACTATGTTTTCACAAAAGTTCAAATTTTAATATATATTAAGATCTTTCTTTCTGAGATGTGTCCTCCCTAGATTCCTGAATTGCTTAAAGACCACAAATGATTGATGAGCATAGTCAGTCTATATAACTGTACTGACTTAACCTGAAGCACCAACCATCCAGGACTTCTCTGGGTTTTCTGAAACCTGGGAAGAAAGATTGCTAAGTAAAACCTTTTCACTATAGAAAAGGATTTACTCACCACGACATTCACATAGCTGTCATTTAGATAGACATTTGTTCAGAATATTTGGGTAAATAGAGCAGCGTGTCCATCTTGAAGGTATTTATGATTTTCAGGCACACTAGTAATGGCTTTGATAGGGTTCTAGTCTCCAGGTAACTAACCTTAATGTGTTGTACTCATAACAAATCACTTCAGTACTCCCAGAAAAGGCCCATTAACTTGGAGCTTTATCACACTGTGAAAGACTGTCTCATTTTGAGAACTTAAAATCAAACCTTATTAGTTCTAACCACTTAAAAATGCTAATTATTCAACTTGGCCTGTGCTGAATTTATTTTTTCAACTGCATGTCAAGAAAATGCTTGGAAAAGAAGACATAAATAATGCAAGAAAGTTTTCTTTTTTATTAAACTTATTGGCACAATGTAAATATACATAATTATCACATTCATCATAGAGAACTTGTATCTGTATATGATATATATCGCTTCCTCTTTTTTGCCCTTTCCCTCCCCTCACTTCAACCCCTCTTCCCTCTTACTACAGAAGCTTCATTTCCATTTTTCTTTCTTTTCTCATTATTTTTCTTTTCTCTTCACTTTGTTCACCCTGCCTCCTCCACAGTTCCATTTCTCATTTGAGCACATTCTTCCCATTTCACAATATCTATTACAAATTTACGCTTTGAGTTTCTCACTCCTGAGAAACAATGTAGTATTTTCACATGTGCCCCTAATTTATTCCATTTAAGAATAGCGCCTCAAGGTGCATCCATTTACCTACAAATGTCTTAAGTCTATCCTTTATGGATGAATAATACTCCATTGTATAAAAAATACCCACATCTTTATCCATTCATTGGTTGATAGGCATTTGTGCTGTTTCCAAGATGTAGTTATTACAAATTGTACTGCTATAAAAATGAGTGTGTATATACCTCTGTAGTACGATGCTTTTAATTCTTTTGCGAAAATATTAGGAAGGGAAATATTAGGATGAATAGGGAGCTCTAGTCCTATTTATTTGAGTAAACTCCACGTTAACTTTTAGTAGTAGTTGCGCCAGTACACATTCATACAAACAGAGGAGAAGGGCTCCTCTTACAACACAGTCCAAACAACATGTGCCATTGATTCATTTCTTGATAATAGTCATTCCTTCTGGAATGAGACAGAATCTCAGGATTGTTTTAACTTGCATTTCTCAAGTGACAGGTGGTAGTAAACACTTTTTCATATATTCATATGCCAGTTTTACTTCCTCCTTTGTGAAGTATGTATGCATTTCAGAAGCCCATTTTTGATTGGGGGGTGAATGCTTTTCACTTATAATATATATATGTGTATATATATATATATATATATATATATATATATATATATATCCAATGGAGAACAACTAGCAATTTTCCCTACTCTTTGGGTTTTCTCTTTACTCTGTGGTGATTTCTTTTTCAGTACAAAAACTTTTTGTTGAGCCTTTGTAATATTTCCCATTTGATCAGGGTTTATTAAAAATCTGCTTCTTTCACCTATGTCTTCAAGAGTTCTACTTATCCTATCTTCCAGAAAATTTACTGTTTCTGCCTTAATATTTAGATCTTTGATCCATTTTGATTTTATTTCAGTCTGTGGTGAGCAACATGGGTCTAATCTTAGTCTTTGGCATATGAAAAGTTAGTTTGTCCAGCAGCATTTTTTTAAAAGGCTAACCTTACAGTGAACATGTGAAGCTCCTTTGTCAAAGATCAGGTGGCTGAGTGCATTTGTAGTTCTTTCTGCATCCTCTAATCTGTTTCTTTGATTCTTACATCTGCTTTTTTGTCAGTATCATACCGTTTTTATCACAGTAACTTTGTCATGTAATTTCAACTCAAAGATTGTGATGCCCCTGCCTTGTTTGCTAACCAGAATTGTTTTGCTAGTCTAGGTCTACCTCTTGGTTCCAAACAAATTTTACAAAAATTTTTTCTTGTGTTATGAAGTATGCTAATGATTTTTATTAGGATTGCATTACATTTATATTTCAGTATTGGAAGTATGGTCATTTCCATTATGTTGTCTCTTTCTACCCAGAAGCAAGCAATATCTTTCAAATTTCTGATAACCTCTTCAAACTCCTTTTTCAGAGTGCTATATTTTTCAATTTGTAGGTCTCATGCTTCCTTTGCTAGGCTGATTCCTAAGTATTTCATTTTTTCAATGCTTTAGTGAAAGTTATAGGTTCTGTAATTTATCTCTCATATGAATGTTACTGATTTTTGAGTCCTGACATTATATCCAGTTACATAACAGAATTTGGTTAATAAGTCTAGATGTCTTTTGGTGTAATTTTTTGGATCTTCCATGTAGAGTATCATTTTACTTCAAATAATGATAACTTAACTTCTACTTCTCCTACCTTTATTTATTTAGCTTCTTTACTTGCCTACTTTCTCTGGCTAATATTTCCTGAACTATAGTGAATAGGAGTGGAAAAACCAGACATCTTTGGCTTGTGCCTGATTTTAAAGTGAAAGCTTTCTATGTTTGACCAATGTTGTCAGTTGGTTTGCCATGCATGGGTTACATCATATTGACATAAAAATTATTCCAACTTTATGTATGTTTTTATCATGAATGGATGTTGGAATTGTGAAATCCTTTTTTTTTTTTTTTTTTTGCACCTTTTGAAATGATCGTGTGTTCTTTGTCCATCCATGGCTGTTTATATAGTACATTGCATTTATTAAATTGCATATTTGAATTATCCCTGCATCCCTAGGTTTAGTTCTACTTGGTCATGGTGTATAATCTTCTTGATGATTTGCTACATTGTGTTTGATAGTATATTACAGAGTATTTGTTACATCTATTGCATTAACAAGATTTGTCTGCAGTTCTCTTAGTTGGATCCTTCCTTGGTTTTGGAATCAGGGTAATTCTTACTTCTGGGGATGAATTTGGAAGTATTGGTTCCCTTTCAATTTCATTAAAAAGTTTAAGAAGTATCAGCATTATATGTTTTCCAAATGTCTTTTAGAATTGAGCAGTGAACCCATCAGATCCTAAATATTCCTTGTTAGGAGGCTTTCAATTACATCTTCATTTCATTGACAGATGTTGGGTTATTTAGAATTTTTATATATTCTTTTTTATTTGTTTTTTATCTTTATTAGTTTTATTGAGAAACAAATAGCAATGAGACAGTTTCAAAACCGATTAGTAGGACAGTTTCAATAATAAATACATTACATATTGTTGTCTTTGTAGTGGTTATTCATAGTACATGATGCAAACATGATATTCTGTTCACAAACACTATTAGAACAAAACTTTCTATCCATTGAATTAAGAGAAATTAGCTGTATATCTATCCTATTTTGTACATACAGATACAAAATGGTCCTTCATTTATATCCCCTTTTTTGTTTCGTTTTGTCAGAGATGAGTATTCCATTGCCATTTAAATATTGTAGGTGAGTGAATTCATACACCTGGAATTTTTATATCTTCTTGATTCAGTCTTGGTAATTAGTATATATCTAGGAATCTGCCCATTTCTTCTGTGTTTTCCATCTCATTAGCATAAAGTTTCCCAAAGTATGTATTGAGGATCTTCTGAATTTCTGCAGGATCTATTATTGTTTTTACCTTTCCATTCCCAATTGAATGGATTTTAGTCTTTCCTTTTTTCATAAGGTTTGCTAAGGATTTGTCAATTTTATTTAATCTTTCATAGAACCAACTCTTTAATTTATTGTTTTTTGTACTATTTTTCATTGTATTAATTTCTGGTCTGATGTTATAATCTCTTCCCTTGTATAAGTTTTGGGCTTGACTTGTTCTTTTTCCAGAAGTTGAGGTTTAACATCAGGCTGTTGATTTGAGCTCGCTCTGTTTTTCTGACGTTGGAATTAATGGTTATCAGTTTTCCTCATAGGTTTGCTTTCATTGTGTTCCATAAATTCTGGTATGCTCATTCTGCATTATCATTTAATTGTAGAAATTATCTCATTTTGGCTGTTTTGTTTGTTTGTTTGTTTGTTTTTTTGAAGGAAGTTAAAATAGTGCTTTTTATTAGAAGGACAGCAGCACGTATTTCAGCCCTCACTAGAAGTGTTCGCTGAGAAAGTGGATTTTAATCCACAGGTAACCTCACACGTGTGCTCTTTGTTCTCGCCTCACTCAGGCCTCATTCTCTGAGTCCATCCGGTGCTCATCAGCACCTCTGTATCTGTCTGCCCGAGGATCCCCAGTGTCCTGTC